CAGCCATCACAGAGACTGAATCAGCAGTATATGGCTCTAGGCGATAGATTGGGAACTGGCCACAGAAATCACGAACTGCCTGTCTTAAAGTACGTTTGTCAACTCGAGCACCAACTCTCCATTGCTGGATAGTCTTTTCGATTTTGTGTGACGAYGGCCTATTAGACACCTATATAGGACAACATAAGAAATTTCTTTTATCTCACTGATTATGTATTTTCATTTTATTATGTAGACTTTTGTTGGGATAGACTAAAGTGTTAAAAATTGTATTTCAAACAACTTAAGCCGTAATACACACCTAAGTCGTTAGTACAATATCTTAGGGGTCACGGAACTGCCTTCTTTTTTACGCTATTTCATTTCGATTAGATGTTACCCTATTAGCGGATATCCCGCGCGATTAGATGTTACCCTATTAGCGGATATCCCGCGCGAGCGGAGCACCATACTTAAGAAAAAATGGTAAACCATCGAGTTGATTTTTCATGGCATGGCTGACGTCACTTCCGTCCGTCCGTCCGTCCGTCCGTACGTCCGTGTAACACAACACAGAAATCCCGCTTGATTTCAAAGCAAAACTACTCAGAAATGCACAGAAAACATCGCTTTGGGACAAATMATGGACCGACAACAGATGATATRAAAAGAATTCCATTTAGTCAAAGATGGATCAAGAAAGTATTTTTCAAGAATTCAGGTGTGTGGCTTTTAGCAAACAATCGCATATTTTTACTTTCTATGACAAGCAGTTTAAATTTCTTTCGACGAATCGACAAATCAAAGGAGATCTTAATAGCAAAGGGAGCCCAATTTAGATAAAACTGAAAGATGAAAATAAAATCCATAGGGCAAAAAGTCTTTAATTTTTTTTCTCCATCGAAATGAAGACAATGTCACTCATAAGGGAAACCATGAAGTGAAAAAATGAAATCTTCGCACGAGTCTTTGTACTCTCCCACTTAGGAATTTGGTCACATGTACACAACCCACCACCGTCCAACCCAG